ATTAGTAGTCATGTGAATTTGGTATTCGTTTGATATTTTGATGAGATGTATGTTGTCTATCCTCTAGTGGTGTTATGTGAACGTCGACTACATGACACTTCACCATCATTTGGGCCTAGAGGAAGGCATTGGGAAGTAATAAGTAGATGATGGGTTGGTAGAGTGACAGAAGCTTAAACCCTAGTTTATGCGTTGCTTCGTAAGGGGCTGATTTGGATCCTTATGTTTCATGCTATGGTTAGGTTTACCTTAATACTTTTGTTGTAGTTGCGGATGCTTGCAATAGAGGTTAATCATAAGTGGGATGCTTGTCCAAGTAAGGACAGCACCCAAGCACCGGTCCACCCACATATCAAATTATCAAAGTACCGAACGCAAATCATATGAACGTGATGAAAACTAGCTTGACGATAATTCCCATGTGTCCTTGGGAGCGCTTTTCTCTATATAAGAGTTTGTCCAGGCTTGTCCTTTGCTACAAAAAGGATTGGGCCACCTTGCTGCACTTTATTTACTTTTGTTACTTGTTGCTCGTTACAAATTATCCTATCACAAAACTATCTGTTACCTATAATTTCAGTGCTTGCAGAGAATACCTTGCTGAAAACTGCTTATCATTTCCTTCTGCTCCTCGTTGGGTTCGACACTCTTACTTATCGAAAGGACTACGATAGATCCCCTATACTTGTGGGTCATCAGTCGCGACCCCGTCCTTGGAGATCACGTGCCCCAAATACTCGATGCTGGTTTGCGCGAACGAGCACTTGGATTCCTTGGCGAAAAGCTGGTGTTCGCGGAGCAGTTGCAGCGTGAGCCGTAGGTGCTCCTCATGTTCCTGCAAGTCAGTGCCGAAGACAAGAATATCATCGAGAAATATGATGATAAACTTATGAACGTATCGCCCGAAGACAGTGTTCATGAGGCACTGAAAAGTTGCAGGGGCGTTGCACAGACCAAATGGCATCACTCTGAAGTGGTAGTGCCCGTGGTGAGTTTTGAAAGCGGTCTTATCTTCATCCTCCTCGCGCATACAGATCTAATGATATCCAACACGTAGATTGATCTTGGAGAAATAGGTGGCACCGGCCAGTTCGTCCAGTAGCTCGTCCACGACCGGTAGAGGAAATTTGTTTCTGACAGTTGCAGTATTCAGTCGTCTGAAATCAACACAAAATCTCCAGCTACCATCTTTTTTCTTTACCAACAGAACCAGTGCAGTGTAGGGGCTTATGCTATGCGCAATGACGCCAGTTTTTAGCATGCACCTACTTCTCAATCTCGTCCTTCTGAGCAGGTGAGTAGCGATATGGCTTGGTATTGATAGGAACAATGCTTGGTTCAAGGTGAATACCATGGTCATACTGTCGACCAGGCGGTAACATGGAGGGTTCGGCGAACACATCCTTGTATTCGGACAACACTTTCTGAATATTTGGTGGAATTGGTTCCGGGACTGCTTTATCTACCCACTCAACTGTAACCAGGGCTGCAGTCCAGATGTCGTTGGCCACTTCCATGCGATGAAGTTCATATACATCCAATTCTGTGATTGGTGGAAGATCTGAGGTTCTGACGCCCTGAAGGTGTACTGTCTTCCCTTCAGTTTGGAACGTGATCGTCTTCAATTGCCAATGGCAGTTCATGGGACTGTGTGAGGCCAACCAATCCATGCCGAGGACTCCATCGTATGCTCCCAGTGGCAGTACTCTGAAATCTGTGTGAAACATGTGTCCAAGTACCTACCATCCCAGTTGCCGAACGATCTTGTTGCAGTGTAGCCGTTGCCCATTTGCCACTTGAACTGACACTGGTGGTAAGGCCTCTGTTTTTGCTGACACGCATTGCACAAAGGAGTCACTGATGAAACTGTGTGAGCTGTCCGAATCCACTAACAACAGCATGTACTGATCTCCCACTTGTGCGCGCGGGCGAGTGGTAGATGGGGCTTCTTCTCCTGAAACTGCATGTTGCGAAATTGCACAACATTCAGGCTTGTGGGCGATAGGCGGGTCCAAGAGTTGCAGAGCATGCACTGTGTCGTCCGATAGAATCTCTCCAAAATCCCCTACTTCGATCATCAGTATTTGACCGGTGCGCTTGCACTGATGCTCGCATGAATACTTGTCTCCACAGCGGAAACAGAGATCGTTGGCTCTTCTAAATTCTTTGAGTTGCCGTTCTTGAGCGTACTCGTCGCCTCCTGGACGAGGTTGAGCGGCTGCGCGAGCCTGAGTAGCCATTGCAGGTGCTGCTGGAGGTGGTCGCCCCACAGGAACGATGCAGCTGCGTGGTGCTCTTTGTTTTTCCAGCTCTTCCTCTTGAATGCGTGCAAACACAACAACTCGAGTAATGCCGGTTGGGGCTTGTAACCTGACGCCCAACCGCAGTTCATCCTTCAGTCTCCAACAGAAACTGAGATATGAAGAATTGGGTGCTCAGTGTTGGATCCAAGGAAAGCAGATGATACACTGAGGTTCCGAACTGCTGACGGTACTCCTGAACACTGCCAGTCTGACACAGTTGAACGAGATGATGCATCTGCGCCTCAAACTCTTCAGGGCCAAATTCTACTTCGACAGCGGTTCTGAATGCTGCCCATGACATAGCAGGGTGTGTCTGTCGATATGCTTGTAGCCACATCGCTGCGATTCCATCCATGTACAACCCTGCTGTTGTGACCCAATTGTGCTGTGGCACTCGGTAGAGCTCAAAGTAGGAGGTGCACCGCTCGAGCCAGATGCGTGGCGCATCGCCGTCGAAACGGGGAAAATCATGCTTGGGCGGCTTGGTGTAGTGGTCGTTCCTGCGATGTTGCTCGTAAGCGGTTGGCGAGTGCTGGAGCAGGAGCGGGGGACCATGGTTGACGAGGCGGGCAAACGGAAGCTGCGCGGCGCCCTCTGTGTAGAGCAGTGGAGGTGGCGGTGGGTGAGTCGTTGGTGGTGGAGGGGCGGCGCTTGGCTGGAGGATCCAGAGGCCGGCGTCGTTCCCATCGCGGATGTGCCTGGGTCGAGCGGCGGAGGGGACTTGCGGGCCTCGTCCACATCCGCTTGCGTCAGATCTATCTGCTTGGCCAGATGCTTGAGCTCGTTGGAGACCTGGTCGTTGTAGGCGACCTGGGCTTGGTGACGCTCGTCCGCTGTCTTCAGGTTGGCGTTGAGGCGGCGGATGACGGACTCGAGCAAGGTCTGAAGCTTGTCCGTCGTCTTCGTCATCGCGTCCAGCACGCGGCGTGTCTGGGCGGAGGGTTTGGACGGCGCCGTGATCGCGCTCCGAATCGAGGCGAACCCCGAGTAGGATTTTGAGCAAGCTCGCCGGGGCGGCTCGCACCGAGCTCGGTGGATGTTACCGCTCGATCTGGAGGATTAGCGAGCAGCGGCGGCCAATCGGAGAAAAAATTCTGGTGGATTTGTGGAGGCTCTGAGTACCACTGTAATGCCCAGGCGGATCCCGATCTAGAATTGGAGATGAGGAAGGGGAGAACAGAGTAGATGAGAGGCTTGGAGAAGGGGAAAGGAAGACTCGATCAACACTCGCTGCCTCTTTCGTCTTGTGAGCCGTACATATGTAGCTGCCTCACTGGGCCACCCTTACAAGGCCGCAGCCCAATCACAAACCCGCACACGCACTCGACCGAGCCCAACAGTGGGTTGCAGGTTCAGATAACTGAACTGCACTTGGTTAGTCCACTGCAGGTGCATTAGCAGCATCTGCAGGCGTGACACTACCTTGCTGTGATGTTTAATTGTTTGTACAAACTGGGTGAAACGAGTCTGAACCGAAAGGCAACAAGTTTCTTGGTGATGTTTTTTGTGGGTGATGTTGAAGAAAGGGAATGAGAAGAGAGAACACGAGCAGACATCGGTCAATGCTGTTTGTTTTCAGGGTAAATCCCTTTTGTGAGCCGGTTTATAAAATCTAAATGCTGATGCGTTTTCTTTCTTCAGCCCGATTCCCCTTCGTCCCATCGCTGCTCAATGTTGGCCACCTGCTGTCGTCTTCGGCTCTGGGTCGCTCGCGCTTTGGCTTTGCCGACGTTCCCGTGCCTTGCTGGTGCTCGCCTCGGCGCCTTCATCTCGGTCTTGACGCTTCGCCCAAAATTGATTTAACACAAATTCGTTTTTAGGCAACTTACAAATAGCTACTCACTGGTTTTATTACTGTACTGGAAATGATGGCTAGAAATAGCTTAGCCCAATTTCAAAAAGAGGAAAGAAAAGTAATAGGCTGCCCAAACAGGATAACTAGCCCAATTTCAAAAAGAAGAAAGAAAAGAAATAGGCTGCCCACACAGAATAACTCTACGTGTTTGTGAAGACAAATTTATTGTCACGGCTGCTGTACATGTTTCTGCAACAGAAACAAGTTCTGCTACGTGATTGTAGTAGATTGTACTCTCTTTCTTTTATTTACTTCGCATATTAGATTTGGCTGAAGTCAAACTTCATCAAGTTTGATCTAGTTTATAAAAGATAATATAAACATTTACCATAACAAATCTATATAATGAGAAAATACATTCGATAATAAATCTAATGTCATTAATTTATTATTGTATATATTAATATTTTTATATCTAAGTTTATATCTAAGTACGCAAATGTATTTTGATCGTTGGACGATTTCAACCACGTGAGCGGTAGGTGAGCGAGGCTCTCTAGACAGATGTGGCGGCGGCTGGACGGGGCCGCTCCGTTCCATCCTCCCTCGTCTTCTACCCCCCGTCTCGTCGCCCGTCCACGCCGTGGAGAGACCGCAGACCGGAGCTGCTCGCATCGCCGTTGCAGCTCGCCCAACCAGGTGCCCGCGCGTTCCTGCTCGCCCCTCCCCAGGTTCGCTCGTCCGCCCCCTGTTTCTGCAAGAAACCTCCAGCCATCCAGCCATCCAGGGCGCACGCGACCTGTTCGTCAGAATGCCTCTGCCGCGGCGTTCTGCCCGCTGCTGTACGCCGTTTGTCTGACTCGAAACCTTTCATGTTCCTTTGATTGTGCTGCGCAGCAGCGATGGCGACGGCGTTCTCAACCAAGCAGCCGCTGCGGGTCGCTGCACCTGCAAACAAATGTGAGCCTTTTCTGGCCCTTCGCTGTTCATTTAGTCGTTCATCCTGCCTTGTTTAGGCACTTGTTTGGCCGTAGCATTAGAAATTGGAACTGCCAACTGCGCCACTAGGATTATCAGCCGCGCTCAATTCTCTCATTCATTTTATTGTTTAGGGCGGCGCCCAGGGTTGCCACTGGTTAAAATGCAACATTCGTCCAGCAAGCGAGCTAGTGCTTCCATTTCATTGGCATCCAGTGCAGAGGGTGCGGAGAGAAACGAGCCCGTAGTCAAAATGTGTGGCATCACATCTGCCAGAGATGCAGAAGTCGCTGCAGAGGCTGGAGCTAAACTTATTGGGATGATTCTTTGGCCTAAGTCCAAACGGTCTGTCCAACTGTCGGAAGCGAAGGAAATATCCAGAGTAGCAAAGTCATATGGGGCTGAAGCTGTTGGTGTGTTTGTCGATGATGACGAAGAGACCATCTTAAGAGTATCCGATTCATGCGACCTTCAACTTATTCAGGTACATTCTCCCTGGTTGCTGCTAATCTCTACTACTTGGTAGAACGACAGTGGCTTGTTTTGCTAGTCTTTACTGATCAGTTGCTTTTACACAGCTTCATGGAGATAGTTCTCGAGCACTAGTTCCTGCTCTTGCCAAGAACAATCGAATTGTATATGTTCTTAATGCTGACACGGATGGAAAACTTATCAATTCTCCTCCCAATGAAGAATATGGCATTGACTGGTTTTTGGTGGATAGTGCAGAGGGTGGAAGGTACATAATGTTGCTCATTCGGTTGTCGTACTCTCTAATATCCTTGATGTTTGTTGTTGTACTAGTTAACAGCGGAGACTAGTGAAGCTCTTATCTAACTTAGCAGTTACTCGCCAAAGAATATCAATATTTTCTTTTACAATGATGTCTTTTGTGCTTTAGTAGTTTGAGTAGCAGGGATTTGGTTTAAAGGATAGGCATTTTGTGACATCTTTAAACATAATTCACAGTTGTGTTTCAAACTTTCAATGGCAAAGCGTGTGACCCGTCCCGTGACAAGTAAGGCCCTCATGCCTCTGCAAAATGTACTAATGCGTGTGTTGGATATACTCTCAAAAAATATATTTTTCCTTCATACTTTTGGAATGAATAGTTACTGCTATGTAAATTTTCATCGCCTGGAACTATAAGCATGTACTGATGTGGAACATATCGGTCTGATTAATTTGATCCGTATTTGCTTGCAGCGGCAAAGGATTCAACTGGGAGAATTTCCAAATGCCGTCGGTGAAAAGCAAGAACGGCTGGCTGCTAGCAGGAGGCCTTCATGCGGACAATGTTTGTCAAGCCGCTTCCGCTCTAAAACCAAATGGTGTGGATGTTAGCAGTGGAATATGCTCTCCTGACGGTATAAGCAAGGACCCGGAGAGAATATCATCCTTCATGAGAAGCGTACAATCCTTAAGTTCCTGATGAGGTCTCTATTTAGACTTCCCCAGGCTTATAGCTTCTTGCTTCAGTTTGTGGACATCTGCAAATAAGTTGTCCTGAATGATAGCAATAAACAACATTTTTTTGAACCAGCAATAAATAACTTTGAAGCTGAGTTCTAACTATGCTTGTCTGATTGTACCATTTGACCTGTTCTGCCATTTTACCAGTTAAGATGGTAAGATGGTGCAAGTGTAAATGCAAGTCTTCTCATGTTCGTCGCCATGCGTTCTTCCTGACTGCAGCAACATTATCGCCTGATCACAGGCACCACCTGAGGGGCTGACTGGACGGAACGGAACGTTGAGGGGATGGGTTCATAGTGTCTCCTTGCCACTTATAGTAGAGGTAGAGTGGGGCGGTTGTGGCCTTGTGAGCAGCAGCAGAGGGCACGATGATCATCCAAGGGGTATCTCAGATCTTTCATTGTTAAGATGGGCATGTTAAAGTTTGGGCATCTATACTACTTATAAAAGAGCAAACATAATCTTCTTTAAGTGCACCCCACAAAACGTACACGGATACATTACCATCGCATGATTAGTCCCACTAAACTCAATCTAACGGCTAGCCTTAACCTATCTGTTCTCTGTGTGCACTTAGCAATTTACATTGACTGACCGTACTCCACCGTGGAGGAAAATATGAAGTTCACGCCTGGTCAATTAGGAAACTATAATCACAGACACATCCTATTAAGAAACTAATCAGCAGACGCATCTAATTATTAGGAAACTAATCACGAACGCATCCTATTATTAGGAAACTAATCACGGGTGCATCCTATTATTAGGAAAATAATCACGAGCGCATCCTATTAGAAAATTAATCATGAACACATCTAATTATTAGGAAACTAATCACGGACGCATCCTATTAGATAACTAATCACGAACACATCTAATTATTAGGAAACTAATCGCGAGCGCATCCTATCGTCTCCTATCAGGGAATCGCGATCGCAAGTCACCTGTCGTCACCAGCCCACCACCCACGCGAGCCACAATGGGAGACATGCGAAGAGGAGCTGCGGCTTCCTCTGAACACGCACACATGCCGTCGCCGCCTTCGTCTTCTGCCTGGAGGGCAGGTCACTCTTCTACTGACTGCAACGACTTTGCATCATACAGAGAGACCAACCATGTTTCTCTGAATATCTTGAATCATGATCTTTATGACTTCATCTCTACTACTTATAAGAAGTACATTTTTTCATTTGACTATTTTCCTGACATGGGAGGTAAGGTATGTTTTATCCACTAGAGTTGCTAAAATTGGAAGCATATCTGCAGTTTTTTCTTTCTAAACCGGCATTTGTTGGCCCTTTTTTGCCACGGTTATTCTTACAAGTGGTAGCCTACGTATCATTATTACTACAAACTCAGAGGATATTTTTTATATTGTCAAAATTTTAGAATTTTGAGCCCTTAAAGAAATATGTAGTACTCAAGTAACTGTTCCAAGTTGTCATATTAATGCTTTTGTCCAGTGATTAACAAGTATAATTACGTAATTTATCAATGAAATTTTTATTTGGTTTACATGTTCTATTTACATAATAAAGTAAGTCACTTTTCTTGCTTCCAGACATTACAACACTTGTGGTGTAATAGTAGAATCGGATGGTCCAACTAGCATTTTTTTGTCTTGTTTCACAACTGATTCTATGCAGTCAAGACATCTCTACACTTCTCTATGTGACAATGGCTTCCTCTTTTCAACAAACCATAGAGGTCTCTTCCCGATATTGTGTGGTTGACACTCAATTGTAATAATAATTCTTGACTGGAGTTTGTTGGCACTGAAACGGTTCCTTAGCTTGTCCTAAGTGACATTTTCATGTGTGATTATACTTGCATAAATGTGTGCATATGGAGAATTATGATGAATCTTCTAAATAATTTTGAGTTTTATACATTGGGAAAAGTGGGTGGTCTTTTAATACAGGAGACATGTTGATTAAGGAGAAACGATATTTCAAATTATTTGTATGAGTTGGGAATAAGAGATTGTGTACTTTATTGGGAAATTTCAAATTTATGAATAAATTGTCTTGTATTAAGTATAGTATAATGTGTTAATCCAAATAGACGCGTGTTGCACGTGCACACTTATTAGTCCAAATAGACGTGTGTTGCACGTGCATATTTACTAGTTATGTTTAACGCGAAAAAAGATCTAGCGTGGATGATTAGTCCGGGAGAGGGACTTTGAGTGGTCCGGGTTGTCGGAGTCCTTGGCGAAGGTCTGGACTCTCCCAAAACCTTTCCCTAGTTTGTGGCCGGTTTGCAGGAACTCGGGTGCATGAAACTCATCTGTATGCAGCGTCGCATTGGATTGCAAAAAAAGTCTGAACGACGTCTATACAGACATTTGCAAACGTTTTATGACACTTTGGTAACAAAGATAGTGAGATGCCCTAACCTATTTGTTTCAACCTCGGGCCATCAAGACCTCCTCCTTTCATTTTGTGGTGCAGAGGGGTTAAGGGTTGAAAACAAGGTTGGCTTTAGTGCCCCCGATCAGGGCGACCACACTGGGAAAACAATTTTGTCATCAACATTGCCTGTTATTTATTCCCTTCGTTCACAAATATAAGACTCTACTTTTTTGTGAATCAAATATGCATAGACATATTTTAGTGTGTTTGTTCACTTATTTTAGTCCTTATGTAATTTATATTTTTTTGACCAAAATATTTTATTTTTTTGCGATGGTTATGTAATTTATATTGAAATGTCTAAAACGTTTTGTATTTATGAACGGAAGAGTACTTTGTCTCAAAAATATCAAAAATGAGCACTCCATAAATTTTGAACTGAAGCTACAAGTATTTTGGAACGGAGGGGAGTACTACTTTGTAGTAACACATTGTATAAAACAGAAAAACAAATTCAGTCGGCGTCCAGGCCTTCACTGTCGTCCAGGTCTCTCCTCTATCTCCGCCTTCACCGTCCCCTCCCCACAGCCCACCCCGCAGACAGTTGGGTGGCCGCGCCGGCGCCGCCCATGGCCGCACCACCCGCGCGTGTGCCGCTTCTTCGTGCACCCAGCCGGCCCTTCCCCGCCTCCCAGATCAACCCCCGCCGTCACTTCCGGCCGTCGGTGTCGGTCGCCGTAGGAGGCGTGGGCGGCCCCGTGCTCCGCACCTGCAAGAATTGCAAGAAGCAGTACGACCCGGCTGCGAATCACCCTTCGTCATGCCGCTACCACACGGCCCACTTTGGAGGTGAGAAATCGTCTCTCCCATGGCTACCTGCTTATCTTCAGACACAGTAGCTGGTGAGGATTCATCTACCAAATAGCCCTGTCTTTGTAAATGAATTGTACTGTCCAGTGAGTTCCAAACCATGATTCGCGAGTGATCAGTAGCCGTCCATATGATCCGGACTAAATGTGACATCTTCCGCGAGGAGTTCTCAAATTTATCTACTCCCTCCGATCCATATTACTTGTCGCAGCTTTAATAGTACTACAACTTTAGAGTTTTTGTTAGAACTGCTTGCATAAGGGTTAAGATGGGATGCCGATCTTGTTTTGTTCGATTCTTGTAGCTTTAGCTGGCCTTCTATGGTCTTGAGATACTAGCATTTTGCTTAGAAAACTTTATGACTTGTGGATTGTGGTTATCGGCGAAGTCGTCAGGAGCTCGCTTTTACCATTTCGGTTGGACAGGCATACTGATTGAATTGTTTTGTCCTCGAGACCTACATAGAACTAAATGGTTCATTTCTGCCACTCCAGGGGAAACAAAGAGAAAATTTGAAAGTGTCCATTCTGGTGGGACCATGGATACGCCGGGTGCAGGCAAAGTGCTCCAGTACTGGCATTGTTGTGGATCAGAGGATCCATTTGATGTTGGTTGTACTGCTGCTCCTCACTCTTCATACGATGACTAAATATCTGGATCGTTATCTGTCCATTCTCCGTTGTGCTCTTGTGGTTCTACTTTTTTTCCCACATGAATAGTGGCCCGCTGAGGATCCATTTGATGTTGGTTGTACCGCTGCTCCCTCACTCTTCATACGATGACTAAATACGTTATCTGTCCATTCTCCATTGTGCTCTTGTGATTCTACTTTTTTTCCCACATGAATAGTGTCTGAGTGGCAGCATCTGCCAACATGATTTCTTCTTCTTTAGCTTTCTTACATTATCTGAAACTGAATATTCTATATGTACATACTTCCTCTACATTGTTTATAATACCTTACACTCTTTGTTTATTTGAAATTTGAATGTTATCTAGGTATTTAGTTAGCAAGGAAAAAAATGCGCTAGGGGCATTAATTATGCATTTTGCCACTGCCTAGCGAATGCCTACCATGATTTAGGCTAGGCATTCTTTGGTCGCATAGTGCTTACTCACGCTAAAGGGCACGATTATGGCACTAAAGTTTGTCATAAAGTATCTCCCGGGCTGTCATCTCAAGCATTGTTTTCAGCTACATATTTGCACTGCAGTATTAACTGTCTGCAGCAACAATCCCAGTTTGCATGATAGGTTGGATGATAACAGGAGCATGGGATTCAGTCAAAAAAACGGGAGCATGGGAGTCATCGGTGGCATGACACCTCTGCAGAACACTTTCCGCTTGTCGCATGCCAATATGTCATGCCATTGGGACAAATGGGACCGAGCAGTAGTACTAGAGGCTATGTGAAAACAGTGAAATGAATACTGTCTGTCAAGATCAGTTTGTTTGGAATAAGGAATAGTGCCAAGTTATTCTGTGGTTACATCTTTCAAAATAAAAGAAGGTATAAATATTGAACTGAACTGGTCATTTTACATCATGTGAATTCATGGAGCAATTGCAGAGGATATTCATGATGACCGGGATCGCTTGACTTACTAGCCCTTATCGATCATGTTCATTCAATATACCGGTTGCTCTCATCAGGTTTCCAAGCTTTGTCCTTCCCTTAGCTGTTGTACCCTGCTACTGCTACTATGAATTGTCTACCGCTATCTTGTTTCCTCGGCTATGGCATGAGCAAATGTTTGATAATTTTATTACCTTATCTCCGTGCATGTGTAGTTGAACAATCCTGGCATGTGTCCTCTTATCTTGTTATCCTTGTGCCAGAGTTATTTGTCCATTGCACGCCATCAACTTTACTAAGGACTCGAATTTCAGTTCAAGCCTAGCCAACACTTGTTTTCTTATTTTCTCCTTAATCTCTAACGGTAGTAGGGATCTCCAAGTCTCTGCTGCCTCAAGTAAAAAAAAACACCCGTCTTTTATTTGCATTTTCAGCTTCTCTAATCTCACCATTTACTTTCAGCGGATTAGAGTGCGACGACCAAAGTTACGGAGTGCGGCCTCTCCCGCTTTCCCTATTGTTCTAGTTGAACTAGGTCTTTAGCTGAGCGACCACCTTCTTCTAGTGTTCTTAGCTTATTGCCTGCTTCTTGACTGGTTGCACCATATACATTGACTAGATTCCAAGATTCCTTAGAAAATCTAGCATTAACAACCATCCTCATATGAAACGTCTCTACTTCGGTTCTGGTCAAAAAATAAAATTCCCTACTTCGGAATGCACAATTTTTTAAAGCTTCCCAAAACCTGCTGGGAAGCTTTTGGAAGCTTCCCAAAAGTGGGACCAGCTTCTCCCGCTACAAAGCATAGATGGGCCGGCCGATTCCACACGCCTTCAATGCACCGTGTGTACCAAATACACGTTAACTGGCGCAGAAGGCGTCAAATAGGATTTGGGTCTCTTTGCATTGGGAAGCAGCTATGTATCGCCTGTTGCAAGGCTGAAGGAGGTCTCGCCTCGAGGGCGCCCTTCCCGGCGCTATTATTGGGTCGGCCCAAGTAGCACCTTGTTCATTTTTATTTCTTTTTATTTATTCTTCATATTTTGAAACAAAAAAAATTCTAAATACATATATTAATACTTAAAAATATTTAAAAAATTTCAAAACCACCAAGTCCAATTTTTAACGCAGTTTCAAAGCATTGTTAGCAAACTTAAAAAATTGTTTGTGCCATTTTAAAAGTGGTCAGGCAATTCGAAAGATTGTATGTGATATTTGAAAAACATTGTAAAAAATGTTCGTGTAATTCACAAAAAATGTTTCGTACCATCCAAACAAAATGTACGATGCGTTTGGAAAAAATGTTCACAGATTTAAAAATATTGTGAAATTTAAAAAAATGTTTGGTACAATTTTTTTATAAAGGTTCAGATAGTTTAAGAAAATGCTTCCTCTAAAAGAATATTTGAACGTGTATTTGAAAAATGGTTAACACATATTCAAGAAAAGTTGAAAAACATGTATTTGAAAAAATGGTGATCATGTATTTGAAAAAATGTTTTAGATGTATACGAAAAATAGGATGTGTATGAAAAAAGTAGACAATAAAACATATATTTGAAAGAAAGTTAATCATGTATTCAGAAAACTTTAAACATGTATAAAAAATATTTCTGATGTATAAAAAATATACAATGTGTATGAAAAAGTAGACATGTGTTCGAAAACCCCCGGAAGAAAACCAAATACAGGTGAAAACTAAAAGGGAGAAAACTAAGGAATCCAAAAAACCCGAAAAGGGAAAACGGAAAAACCAAAAGGGGAAAACCCCAAAGAAAACCGATGCAAATAGTGAAAAACGATAAGAAAAACACAAAGGAAAAGAACTCGAGCAAGAGGCGGTAGTACTAGGCCAGCCCACTTCCTCGCGCCCAGAGGGGAGATTGAGTTACTTATCGGTACAGGTAGTATATAATCCTGGTGCTCTCCGCTTTGTATCTTTCTAAAAAAGATCCTCCATTTTTTGAGGTGAAGGGAGAGCTTCATTTATAACAATAAACCAAGCAATTACATGCTTCAAAACTTGTGGCAGCTAACAGAAAGAAATCCCCATTCACTCTAGCATAGGCAACAAGCTCATGCGCGGCCACATTGCTCTTGTTGGGGATTGTTGCAGAAATTAAAAAATTTCTATGCATCACCAAGATCAATCTATGGAGAGACTAGCAACGAGAGAGAGGAGAGAGTGCATCTTCATACCCTTGAAGATCGCAACGCGAAAGCGTTACAAGAATGCGGATGAAGGAGTCGTACTCATAGCGATTCAGATCGCGGTTGATTCCGATCTAAGCGCCGAACAACGGTGTCTCCGCGTTCAACACACGTACAGCCCGCGGACGTCTCCTCCTTCTTGATCCAGCAAGGGGGAAGGAGAAGTTGGGGAAGAGCTCCGGCAGCATGACGGCGTGGTGGTGGAGCTTGTGGTTCTCCGGCAGGGCTTCGCCAAGCTCAACTACAGAGGAGGAGGTGTTGGGGAGGGAGAGGGCTGCGCCACGGGAAGGGTACCGCAGCCCTCCCACCTCCCTTCTATTTATAGGGGCAAGGGAGAGGGGGGAAGCGACCAAGGAGGGTGGCTTGCCCCCCAAGCCAAGGGGGGCGCCCCCTTTAGGGTTTCCCCTATACCCTAGGCACATGGGCCCTAGGGGTTTTGGCGCCATCCCACTTAGGGGCTGGTTCCCCTCCATATTCAGCCCATAGGGCCCTCCGGGACAAGTGGACCCTCCCGGTGGACCCCCGGAACCCCTTCGGTGGTCCCGGTACAATACCGATAAACCCCCGAACACTTTCGGCGACCGAATAAGGACTTCCCATATATAAATATTTATCTCCAGACCATTCCAGAACTCCTCATGACGTCCGAGATCTCGTTCGGGACTCCGAACAACATTCGGTAACCACATACTAATTTCCTTAACAACTCTAGCGTCACCGAACCTTAAGTGTGTAGACCCTACGGGTTCGGGAATCATGCAGACATGACCGAGACATCTCTCCGGCCAATAACCAACAACGGGATTTGGATACCCATGTTGGCTCCCACATGTTCCATGATGATCTCATCGGATGAACCACGATGTCGGGGATTCAATCAACCCCGTATACAATTCCCTTTGTCTACCAGTATGATACTTGCCCGAGATTCGATCGTCGGTATACCGATACCTTGTTCAATCTCGTTATGGCAAGTCTCTTTACTCGTTCTGTAACACATCATCCCGTGACCAACCCCTTAGTCACACTGAGCTCATTACGATGATGTCTTACCGAGTGGGCCCGGAGATACCTCTCTGTCATACAGAGTGACAAATCCCAGTCATGATTTGTGCCAACCCAACAGATACTTTCGAAGATACCCGTAGTGCACCTTTATAGCCACCCAGTTACGTTGTGACGTTTGGCATACCCAAAGCATTCCTACGGTATCCGGGAGTTGCACAATCTCATGGTTTAAGGAAAATATACTTGACATTAGAAAAGCTTTAGCAGACGAACTACACGATCTTGAGTTATGCTTAAGATTGAGTCTTGTCCATCACATCATTCTCCTAATGATGTGATCACGTCATCAATGACATCCAATGCCCATGGTCAGGAAACCGTAACCATCTATTGATCAACGAGCTAGTCAACTAGAGGCTCACTAGGAACATGTTGTGGTCTATGTATTCACACATGTATTTCGATTTCCGGATAACACAATTATAGTATGAACAATAGACAATTATCATGAACAAGGAAATATAATAATAACCATTTTATTATTGCCTCTAGGGCATATTTCCAACAGTCTCCCACTTGCACTAGAGTCAATAATCTAGTTACATTGTGATGAATCGAGCACCCATGGAGTTCTGGTGTTGATCATGTTTTGCTCGTGGAAGAGGTTTAGTCAACAGATCTACGACATTCAGGTCCGTATGCACTTTACAAATATCTATGTCTCCATTTTGAACATTTTCACGAATGGAGTTGAAGCGACGCTTGATATGCCTGGTCTTCTTGTGAAACCTGGGATCCTTGGCCAGGGCAATAGCTCCAGTGTTGTCACAGAAGAGAGCCATCGGGCCCGAC